TTCTCCACCAATATGACTTCAATGTCTTTTTCTCAGTTGGTTTTGACTCAGAGAGAGAATAAAACATTATTTATTGGATCCCCCAATTCTCAAAACCTATCATGTGTAAGGTTCTAGGAGCTTACTGTAGGTGATACATTGATGATTAAGATACTTTCTCTTCCTTAGGGAACTTGAAATCTAGTAAAAGGAATGACAACTTTTTTTAAATAACTGTAACACAAGATTAATACCTAAAATAATAAAAACAAATTTTATGGGCAATTCAAAGGAGGGAGAAATCACTTCCATCTGGAGACATCAAAAAAGAAATAACCACACTAGTATTTAGTGTGGTTATTACTTTGGCAGACTGCATTGGGGAAGAGTAGAGAATTTTAAGCAAACAGCAATGCCATGAAGGCAGAAAATCATGAGTGTGTGTGTCAGGAGAGGGAGGGTGGTGAGGAGATATCTGTGGAGAAACAACAAATAGTTTATTCTGACTGAAATTTAGAGTATAAGTAAGGAAGTAGGGGAAGAGGCTGGGCATGTATGGGCCATATGGTGGAAACCCATGGACAGTTTTTCAGTGGGACACTAACTTTAGAGGTGCATTTAATGAAGATTAATCAGGCAATGATACACAAGGCAGATTCAATTCCAAGGTTGAAGAATGGGAATAATTGGGGTGGAGCTTATTCCCTATTTGACTCTAAAGCCTTGGTTTATCAAAATCAAGCATATAACAAAGATTTATGTTAGAGGGATAAAACAATTAGCTCAGACTTGGATATTGAGTTTGAGATGCCACAGGAACATTCAAGTGAATTACTCTAGTCACTTCTGGCTCCATTCTACCCTTTAAGTGGTAGGAAAATAGACTTCACCTCTTTATGGCAGGAAGTACAAAGGATTTGTTGCCACTTTTAATCAATTACACCAATTCTGCAATTTATTAGCTCTGTAATCTAGGGCTTTTAAAACTTTCTCAGCCTTAGTCTTTTAATATGTCAAGAGGAAAACCTCATAGACTTCTGGAAGTAAGAGAAGATAACACACAGATTTACCTTGCATAGGTCCTGGAATGGGAAGGTTGCTAAGAAATGATAGCTCTCACTATCGTCATCATCCTTACAGTCAGGTTCAAATACTGGCTCTGTCATTTACTAGCTGTGTGATCATTTCGCTTCTTTAAACCTTGGTTTGATCATCTTCAAAATGGGGATAACTACAACTATGTTTGTAAAAATTTAATGATCTATACCTAGAACTTCTCAGGATGACAGCACTAGTAGCTCCCAGAATTGTTGTGAAGATTTAATAAGTTCTTGAATGTAGGGGCGCCTGGGTGGCTCAGTTGGTTAAGTGACTGCCTTTGGCTCGGGTCATGATCCTGGAGTCCCGGGATCGAGTCCCGCATCAGGCTCCCTGCTCGGCGGGGAGCCTGCTTCTCCCTCTGACCCTCTTCCCTCTCATGCTCTCTGTTTCTCATTCTCTCTCTCTCAAATAAATAAATAAATAAATAAATAAATAAATAAATAAATAAGTAAGTTCTTGAATGTAAAGCATTCAGCACAATAGCTGTCATACAGTCAAGACTCTACATATTAGCTATCATTATTATAATTACTACTACTACTACTACTACTATAATCACCTTAGATAGATACCTGAATATCACTTCTCCATTAAATGTGGGTTCTTTAAAGAATTTTCCCAATACCTATCTTACTTACAAAATTAGGTAGATAGATATTTTAAAATATACATTGAGTATATCTAGAGGACAGTTTACTCTGTGCACCAGGAGTTCAGGGGTGTTTGAGCTTAAGGTGTGAATTTTAGAATAATATGCATAGAGATAATACCCAGAGGGAGTATAGGGAGAATCCAGAGGGAATACAGGAAGAAAGAAGGGCTGTTAATCCTCACTAGGTGTGTGCTTATAGCACATAGGAGGAAGAAGAGAAGCCAGAAAAAGACATATAAGGAAAGATTAATGTCCAAAAGTAGAATGCTACTAGTCACAATTCCAAGGAAGGAGAAAATTACACAAAGAGAGGGGTGTCCAAGGCTGCTAAATGCTTCATAAAAGCTTGAGAAAAACTGTAGGATTTGCTAATTATGGGGTAATTGGCAATGTTGAGAGAACAGTTTTAGAAAGAGAATCAAGGGTGGAATCCAAATTCCATGGGACTGAAGAGTGAGTGGGTAGTGGGAAAAATGGAAGCTATAATGGTAGCCTATTTTGAAAGATGTTTTGGAAAGAAGAGAAGGAAAAAAGCAGGGTAGCAACCTAGGCAGTAGTAAAGTCAAGGGAAAGATCTTTATAAGAAGGGAGAATATTTGTGGGAATTCAAACCGGGAAAGTAATTGAAAACACCATCAAGAGAAGTCCTTGATGAGATAAGATCCTAAAGGAAACAGGGAAGAATGGGAATAGAGCTTTATAAAGGCAGATACATCTTTCTTGGAGGCAAGAGTAAAGAAAGGAATGGGCAGGGCGCCTGGGTGGCTCAGTTGGTTAAGCGACTGCCTTCGGCTCAGGTCATGATCCTGGAGTCCCAGGATCGAGTCCCACATTGGGCTCCCTGCTTGGCGGGGAGCCTGCTTCTCCCTCTGACCCTCGCCCCTCTCATGCTCTCTGTCTCTCATTCTCTCTGTCTCAAATAAATAAATAAAATCTTTAAAAAAAAAAAAAAAGAAAGGAATGGGCAGATTAAAATTGCCAAGTAATACTGAGATACAGCAAATGGAATTGCATGAGGTCTACACCAGATATCTTGGATCTTACTGGTAAATGAGAAAGTGACTAGTATATTCTTTTTTTTTTTTTTAAGATTTTATTTATTTACTTGACAGAGAGAGAGAGTAGCAGAGAGAGAGGGAGCGGCAGACTCCCTGCCGAGCAGGGAGCCTGATGCAGTGCTCGATCCCAGGACCCTGAGATCATGACCTGAGCCGAAGGCAGACGCCCAACTGACTGAGCCACCCAGGCACCCCAAGTGACTAGTATATTCTGAGAGATTGCCAGGAATGAGGTGGGAGCTGGGGGGGGAAGGGGAGCCATATGGAAGAGCTGCTGTGGAGAGTTGACTGTAACTGAATGTAGTAATTTCTGGGCAACAATGAGAGCTTAGTTGAAATTAGATACATTAAATTGTTGTAGACCCAACCTACTGACTTTCCCTAGAAATGTTTCGTGTCCAGGGAGTTTAAGCAGAGAAAGCTTGTTTTGCATGATGTTAATTGTGATAAGGCTGAGGCAGGAATGAGAAGATAAAAATGACAAGGACATCATGTGGTGGCTAATAGTATATTCCCGACACGGCTTGGTATATTATTGACACAACAAGTGAACACAGAAAAGAGAGGATAAATTGAAGAAAAGAGAGAGTTCAGGACACACATGGATACCATTAGGATTAAAAACAAGTTAAGATCATGAAGAAATGGAAGGACCTGAAGTTAAGGTTAGAATGTGGATTTTCAGGGTTTAAGATCTTAGAAGCAGAGCAACAACAAGTAAAATGAAGTCTAGGGAGGACTTGTGGAGTGGAACTCTGCTTTAGGAAGTCCAGAAAGCAGTGAGGAAAGGCAGTGTAAGAATATGATCCAGTAGGTCAGTGAGAGTGGCCTGGCCCCAGGCCCCAGCCTGACCTACTCTCTAGTTAGGTGACCCCATGGAAGTCATAAGCCTTTCCACATCTGTTTTCTCATTGGAAAATGGGGGTCATGTTAGTGTCCAACTTTTAGAATTGTTGTGAGGACTAAATGGGATAATATATATAAAGTGTCTCATATCTGACACCTAATAAGGGTTCAAAGTATAGTTTTTATTAATATTTAGTGTTGCCTTCCTACATTGTCATGAATCATACATCAGTGTCTATCCTTGGGAGGATGACATGGTTTAAGGTGAAAAGGAAGACTATAAATTGAGCACTAAAGTCAATGAAGAAAATATCAGGTATTAGAGATAAGTGGATAATTGGGTAAGGAAGGTTAGAAAGCCCAACTAAAAATGCCTCCTACAAGAGAGATTGACTACCCCAAAACAAGAAATTCCCAGGTAGAACTGCTCCAAAGTTTAGTGCCACTGGCTTAATGATATCCTGAAAGACCTAGATTCTGTCTCTTCTTGTTAGGCTTCTTAGGCTGTTTTCCATCATGGCCCCAGTATCGGCAGCTTCGGTTTCAGGTATCTTTAGGAAATGAATTTGAGGGATCATTAGTGGATCTCTTTAGGATGTGAGGGGGTTAGCACCTATTGATTTCAGGTCGGGGAATAAGACAACAGAGAAGCGCCATTTCATATTTTGTTATGCAAATGATACTGCAATGAGCACCCTTGTAGATGCCTCATTCTACATGTGTATAGTATTTTCTAGGATGATTAGGGAGATACAGTATTCCAAAGAGGGCACATTTTATTTTATTTTATTAAAGATTTTATTTATTTATTTGACTGACAGAGAGCACAAGTAGGCAGAGAGGCAGGCAGAGGGAGAGGGAGAAGCAGATTCTCCACTGAGCAGGGAGCCTGACGTGGGGCTCGATCCCAGGACCCTGGGATTATGACCTGAGCCGAAGGCAGCCGCTTAACCAACTGAGCCACCCAGGAGCCCCGAAGAGGGCACATTTTAATGTTGTTGAATCTCACAGATGGCATTACTGCTTTACTCTTCGCTCTGATTAGTGGTATATAAAAGTAAAAATTCCCATACTTCTCATCCAAATTTTCATAAAATCAGACTTTTAGATATTTGCTAATTTGGCAGATGAAATTATATTTCATTGTTCTTTCAGTGTGCATTTTCCTGGTTACTAATGAAGTTGACCATCCTTTCAAATGTTTTCTGGGTCATTTGCACTTAATTTTCTATGAATTTCCTGTTAATAACTTTTGCTTGCTTTTCTGTTGGGTTGTTCATGTTTTCTCAATTTATAGAAATACTTTATATAGTCTGTATACTGCATAGAAATCCTTTGATTGCTATTTCTTTTTTTTTAAGTAGGTTCCATGCCCAGCATGGAGCCCAGTGTGGAGTCCAACATGGAGCCCAATGTGGAGCCCAATGTGGAACCCAACATGGGGCTCGAACTCACAAGCCCGAGGTCAAGACCTGAACGGAGATCAAGAGTTGGATGCTTAACCAACTGAGCCACCCAGGTACCCATGATTGCTATTTCTATCTTTTGTCTTTTCACTTTGTTGAGGGTGCCTATTGCAGGAAACAACTTCTCATTTGCACAGAACTTTTTGCACTCTTAGGTTCTTAGGCTGTTTTGCTGGCAGTAACTAGTTATTTCACCTTTAGGATCAACCCTGCCCAAAGTCAATCCAGGAAGCTCCCTGCACATTGTTACTTGAAGGGTAAGGAGAGAAAGACTCAACTGCTTAAACGTATTTCAACCCCTGAGTCTGATGCCATCAAAATTCCCCCCATGAGTCACTCCCAAGGGACTTTCTGGGAACTTGGATTTTAACTGAGCAAAAGGTGATATTATGCTGCTCAGACATATTAATCTATTAACATATTAACATTGATTGTGTTGTCTGGTTACAAGTTTCTGCCATTCATTTTTATTGGAGGGAGCAAGGTATAGAGGGAAAGTAAAGAACATCTGAAACACAGTGCCTGGCCCATTTATTGAAGCACTTTTATGGAGGGCTTCGACAGCGAGAGGCAGCATCAGGGCACATTTTCTCTTTGTCAGGCAAGGAGAAAGGAGAAAGACAAAAGGGAATACTCTCAAAACAAACTATGATTTTTTTTTTTCTCCCTTTAGCCAAAGTTCTTTTTGTCTTCTAATACTTGGGCTACTTGCTGATCAATATCAAAATGTGATAGTTCTCCACTGAAATTAGATGGCATTTTGATTATTCTCTTATTAAAGCAAACTTAAATAAGCAGTTCTACGATTATGACTTAATAGATTCTCTTGAATATGCCTCACAAAAGAGTTCTACGATAGAGAAAATAATTTGAGATTGAAAATGAGGGGACTACCAAAAAAGTGGCATAAAAGCTTTGTCTTTTGCCATGTTAACACATGCAAGAATTTATCCCATCCTTGTAAGTGGTTTTAGTCTCTGAGAGGAAAAATATTTAAAGAAAGCAGATGTTGATGAGTCAGATTTAAGCTCTTATAGTTTGAAACACATGTTTTATTTGTATATAGAGCTGTTGTTTGGAAGACGGTTGGCTGAAGTCCTCAACTAAAACCCTAAATGGTGGATTTTCCTGTGCTGTCAATACTGAAGAAGTTGAGACTAGAGGATCTCTAAGAACACTCCCAACTCTTATAACCTACACTTTTTTAATGAGCTTTATGCCTTTTTTGCTTTTACCCCTGTTATGTAGCCACCAGATAATATTGCCCCCAGACCCTTTTCTCCTCCGGCTACTTCTTTAAGTCACTGTTCAACCTTTAACACTGAGGAACTTAGGAAGAAAGAGAAACTTTCAAAGTGGGAGAATGAGAGCAATTCATTCACTGTTTAATAAATACTTACAGATTTCTTACCATGTGTTGGACTAACCACAAGTAGACAGACTAACCAAGTCATCATAAGCATGACTATAGATAAAGATCAGGAAGTTTCCCTGTAACAAAGGACTGAAGACCTGACCAAGGAGTCACAACAAGCTTCTCTCCGGAAGAACCAACACCTGAGCTGAGATCTGAGGAGGAATAGGGGTTACACAGTGAAAGAAGGTGGGTGAGCAAAAGCATTCACAGGGGTCCTGTAGCAGGAGGAAGCACAGTGTGTTCAGGAGCTTGGAGGCAAGGGGATACATCATCCCCTGAGATAGTTAGGAGAAAACAGACAGGACTTGGTAATGATTTGGATAACTGGCAAGAGTTCTCTCTCATATTACTTGCTACTCTCTTCCTCCCTCTTTCTTTCCTAGCAGAGAATACTTCAGCCAGGCATTGTTTTAGCACTATGTATTAACTCAACGATAGCCCAATGAGTATGTGGTAGAATACATGAACTCAGGACCCTACTTGAAAAACCTCCTCTTAGACCTTTTCTGCCCCTCGTATACTGAGCTATCCTTAAGATAGCAGACAGTTTTTGTAGGGACAAGCCCAGGGTTATTTGAGAAAAGAAACAAACAAAAAAGATAGGGGTATGCAAATGTGTTTTGCTCATGCTGAGTCCCAAGGCATGGGATTTAGGGAGAAAACTACTGAAAACCACAACCTATTCATGTGTTATTTATTTAATTGTGATGTATAGTATTTATCGAGTGCATATTGTACCAGGTACTGTTCTGAACACTTTCAAATACTAGTTTATTTAATCTTCACACCTACATTATTATTATGGCCATTTTACAAATGAGAAAACCAAGAGAAATCTCCAAAGAAGTACAGCTATTAGCAGTAATGGGAAGTGGGAGCAGATCCCACCACGGGGCAGTCTGTCTTCCAAGGCCACACCCTTAAGCACTAGGCATCACTTGCTCATTTGCATGACTGCCAAAGCCTTGCTACCTCCTAAAATTATTCTCTGCTTCCTTCTCTAAAAGACTGCCTTATTTACATTAGGGAAGAAAGATCCTCATGACAAACATAGTCACTGAATTAAGAGGAAAACAGGGAAACTCTGGTGGACCTCTCTGTAAGAACAATGACTGAAATTGCCTTTTCTTCAACAAATGAGAATATGGAAGTCATTTTGTGGCCAATGAACATAAAATACTTAAGATATGCACCAATCTACCATGTAACTCTAGATTCCTGAAATTGGTAGTATGAAAATAGCTCCAAGGCTGCTTCTGAGCAGGGATTATAGTTAATCCTACACCACTAAAGTAATTACAGTAGAAAAAAGAAGGACTATTTTCAATAAAGTTGCAGAATTTCTCTGATTTGCATTAAGCATTTGTCATTTTCTTGGCATATGTTTTTCCTTTCATCACCGAACTGTCTGAGAAACCACATGTTTCAAGTCTGCCTCACTCTCATTTGGGTTCAAATCAAATTCCACAGTGTTCTTTTGGAAGAAGGGGTTTCCCTGAAGTTGAAGAGTTTCCTCCACTTTTGTTGAGATCTAAAGAAGCAGGAATTTCAGTTCCTCTCATCACTTTAATCACTTTCTTGCTACTTTCTTCGTCGATCTTACTCCCTTCTGGCAGATAAAGCATTTCTGTTGTGTTTTCTACGTGCCAACCACTGTTCTAAGCACTGTACACTTACTAACTCAACAACACCCTATCAGTATATGGCAGAGTATATGGGTCTAAATGCAGAGAGGTTGGAAGTCAGCGCAGTGAAAGCATATAAAAGATCTCTTCTAAGTGCTTCTAGTCTCTCTGTAAATGAGAAACAGACTATACTCATTTTACAGATGAGGAACCTAAAGCACACAGAGAGCAAGCAGTTTGTTCAAGACCACATAGCTGCAAAGTGGCAGAACCATGATTCAGATCCTAGCAGTCTGACTGCAGAGTCCATGACTCTTAGACTCACACGCTACCGCAAAACTCCTCCTTGGTTAAATTCAACTCTGTACTTCCCCCTGCCTGTCCTTGGGAAGTTGAACATAATTGAACAAAAATGATCATGCTGATTGTTCTCCTTTCACATTCAGGCCTTGGCATAGCCCTAAAAGCCTGCTTTACTTTCCACGTCAGTTCATTTGTGGATCATTTCATACCTTCTCGCTCTTCAAACCTTTGCTGCCACTTCTCCAATCTTCACTCTGCTGAGGACTTATTTCCCATTTCATTGAGAAGAAAGAAACAATCAGAAGAGAACTTCCATGTGCTCCCACCAACACATCTACTGATCTACTTGCATTGGGCCCCATGGATGCTGCCTGACCTTTTACTGTGGGTGAATGTCTATGCTCCTATCTAAATCCAATAGCTTCTTATTGTGCACTGAACCCCATTTCCTTACCTTCTCTAGGATTGGGTTCTTTCAAATTTATCCTCTTTACTGTATCAATTTTCATACCTACTAAGTTATTCCCATCAGTATATAGATACTCTATAATATCTCCTATATTAAAAACAAAAGCAGACTTTCTGGGTTTCAGGTCGGGCCTGGAAAGAGGTAGGTAACTGGGGCACCTGGGAGGCTCAGTCAGTTAAGCATCTGCCTTCTGCTCAGGTCATGATCTTGAGGTCCTGGGATCCAGCAGTCTCCCTGCTCAGGGGGAAATCTGCTTATCCCTCTTCCTCCGGCCCCTCCTCCGCCCCTGCTCCCGCCCCCACCCCATCATGTGCCTGCATGGCTCATGCGCGTCCTCTCACTCTCTCTCTCTCAAATAAATAAAATCTTTTTTTTTAAAGAGGTAGGGCGCCTGGGTGGCTCAGATGGTTAAGCGTCTGCCTTCGGCTCAGGTCATGATCCCAGAGTCCTGGGATCGAGTCCTACATCGGGCTCCCTGCTCCTTGGGAGCCTGCTTCTCCCTCTGCCTCTCTCTCTCTCTCTCTCTGTCTCTCATGAATAAATAAATAAAATCTTAAGGGGCGCCTGAGTGGCTCAGTTGGTTAAGCGACTGCCTTCGGCTCAGGTCATGATCCCAGGGTCCTGGGATCGAGTCCCACATCGGGCTCCCGGCTCAGCGGGGAGCCTGCTTCTCCCTCTAACCCTCTCCTCTCTCATGCTGTTTCTCTCTCGCTCGCTCTCTAATAAATAAATAAATAAAATCTTTTAAAAAAAAAAAGAGGTAGGTAATTATCAGTCTGTCCACAAAATAAGTAAAAAGCTGAACAAATTAAAAAATCAATAATTTTTCTTAGATCCACCAGAGAAGCAAGGTCATAGGCAAACCACTGCCTCCAAATTTGAGAGACAGACAGGCAAATATAGAAAGTAACAACTTACTGGAGCAGAAACCTGCATAAGAACCATTGTTGCAATAGGAAAACCTGAATTGTAATTGATGAATTACTGGAGGCCCGGTATGGACAAGTCTGAGAGTTAAAAACTCCAGAGAGACTCAGTCCTCAGAGCCCCCCACAATTTTGTGAGTTTTATCTCTAGAAACTTGACTTGGTTCTCACAGTGAGTATCAGAGAAAAATCTGTTTGTGCTTCTGGCAGGGGTAAGAGAAAAGAGACTATTTTGCAAGACCATTCTCTTTTTAACAAGGCCTGCCCACAAGAGAAACTATTTTATAACCTAAGATACTGAGATTTTATCAGAAGGGAAATACCCAGTTCCAGCTAGCTCTAGCCTTCTCCTCAAGCTGGGAGAAGAGAAGTAGCCCACTCCAGCCCCCATTAGCCATCCTGTCCCACGGAGGGGGCAGCAAACACTGAGATGCATTTGTGGAATTCGCAATTTAGAGTGACTTACAAAAGACTGAGACCTAATAGGACTATAGAACCCTTTCCCTGCCCCCACACCTTACTACCACATTACTAAAGGCCTATTTACCACAGTTAACTTTACCTAGTATATCATGTCTGGCCATCAAGGAAAAATTTAAAAGCATATTAAAAGGCAAAAAAATACTGTTTGAAGAGACAGCATGTGTTAGAACTAGACTCAGATATCTTAGGGATGTGGGAATTATCAGACCAGGAGCTTAAAGCAATTACGTTTAACATGCTAAGAGCTCTAATGGATAAAGCAGATAGTATGCAAAAAGAGATGGGCAATGTAAGCAGAGAGGTGGAAATTCTAAGAAAGAAAAAATAGAAATACTAGAGATCAAAAAAGCTGTAACAGAAATGAAGAATGCCTTCAATGTGCTTATTGGTAGACTGGATACAGCTGAGAAAAGAATCTCTGAGCTTGAGGAGATCTTAATGGAAACCTCCAAAACTGAAAAACAAAGAGAAAAAAAAAAAAGATTGTAGGGAAGAAAACAAAACAGAGAACAAAATATCCAAGAACTGTGGGACAATTATAAAAGGTGGAATCTATACATAATGGGAATACTAGAAGGAGGAGAAAAAGATAAATGAAAGAGAGAATATCACTACAGATTTCACAGACATTTAAAGGATAATTACACCCTTCGCAAAAACTCAAAATGGATTATAGACCAAAATGTAAAACACAAAATCATAAAACTCCTAGAAGATAATACAGGAGAAAACCTGGGTGACCTTAGGTATGGTGATGATTTTTTAGATACAACACCAAAGGCATGACTCATGAAAGAAAAAATCGGTAAGGTGGACTTCATTAAAATTAAGCACTTCTACTTTGCAAAAGACAATATCAAGAGAATGAGAAAACAAGGCTCAGGGTAGGAGAAAATATTTCCAAAACATATCTGATAAAGGACTGTTTTCCAAAATACACAAAGAATACTTAAAACTCAACTATAAGAAAATCAAGAACGGCATTAAAAACAGAGTCAAAGACCTGAACACTCAATCAAAGAAAATATAGATGGCAAATAAGCATATAAAAAGATGCTCAACATCATATGTCACTAGGGAATTGTGAATTGAAATAATGAGAAGACACTATACACCTCACAGAATGGTCAAAATCCAGAACAAATACCAAAAGCTGGTGAGGATGTGGAGGAATAGGAATTGTCATTGCTGGTAGGAATGCAAAATGATACTTTGGAAGACAGTTTGACTATTTCTTACCACACTAAACATATCTTATCATAATATCCAGCAATTATACTCCTTGGTATTTACTCAAACAAGTGGAAAAGTTATACCCACACAAAAACTTGCACATAAAGATGTTTATAGCAGCTTTATTCATAATGGCCCAAATGTGGAAGCAATCAAGATGTCCTTCAGTGGTACACCCAGACAATGGAATATTACTCAGTGCTATAAAGAAATGAGTTACTGAGCCATGAAAAGACACAGAGGAACTTTAAGTACATATTACTAAGTGAAAGAAGCCAACTGGGAAAGGCTACATACTGTATGATTCTAACTATGTGACCTTCTAAGAAAAGGCAAAACTATGGAGACAATAAAAAGATCAGTTGTTTCGGGGGTGGGGAGGTGGGGTGGAGGTTGGGGATATGAATAGGCAGAGTACAGAGGATTTTTAGAGAATTTGGTTCTGGGAAAGTCAAACTATGGAGAAAGTAAAAGGATCAATGGTTGCTAGGGTTTGGGAGAGAAGAAGATGAACAAGTGAGCATAGGATGTTTAGGTCAGTGAATCTATTAGGTAGGACACTATAATGGTGGATATGTGTCTAAGCCCATACAATGTACAATACCAAGAGTAACCCCAATGTAAACTATGAACTTAGAGTGATAATGAAATGTCAATATAGGTTCATCAACTATAATAAATGTACCAATCTGATGTGGGGTTTTGATAGTTGGGAGGGCTCTATATGTGTGTCCTCAGTGGGTATGTGGGAAACCTCTGGCCCTTCTGCTCAATTTTGCCATAAAGGGAAGCTCATCTAAAAAATAAAGTAATTTAAAAACAAAGCAAAACAAAAACAAAACAAATAGAAACAAAACAAAGAACCTCCCTGGACCTCACATTCCCTTCCAGCTGCCACCTCACTTATCTGCTCCCTTTTAGAGGAAAATGCCTTACAAGAGCTGCCTGTGCTCACTATTTCCCCTCTTCCCTTCTCTGGAATCTATTCGTACCCAGCTTTTGCCCTCACTACTGCACCAAAATGTGATGAGTTCTCAGTCCTCATCTTCCTTGAAATATGAGTAGCTTTTGACACAGTGATCATTTCAGTTTTTTTGATAGACTTACTTCACTTGGCTCCTGGGTTTAATATTCTCCTCCTTCCTTATGGGCCACTCTTTCTTAATCTCCTTTGCTAGTTTCCCCTCCTATTCCTAAATGCTAATCACGGGAGTGGGCTGAGCTCACTTTGGTCTTCTTTTCTGTATCTATACTTACTCTCTTGGTGATTTCATCAAGACTCATGGTTTTAATTACTATGGATAACTGAGAATGTCTCAATTCATAACACCCAATTTATGGGGCTGTGGGGAGAATTAAGTAAGTTAATATCTACAAGGCACTTAAATCTGTGTCTGGAACAGAGTAAGAACTTCTTATATAATCAGCTAGAAACTTGCTAGCTGTCTAATAGGCATCATAAATGTTACATATTCAAAACCAAATTTCCAATTTTTCTCTTTTGGGTTCCCCCTCCTGTAGACTTTTCCAAACATCAATTACTTCCTATCATATTCATCATCCAGTCTATGAGAAAATTTTGGTGGTTCTACCTTCAAAATATATTCAGGACCCAACTCTTCCCATTCTCATCACTATATCCTTGCCCAAGGTACAATCATCACCTTCCACCTACTCTATTGCAAATTTACTGACCAGTCTCCCTGCTTTCTCTTATCTCCCTTTGGTCTAGTTCAACACAGCAACCAAAGTGCTCCTCTTAAAATGTAAGTCAGATCATGTCTCTCTTTTGTTCTAAATCCTCCAAGGGCTGTACATCTTACTCAGGGCAAAAGGTTAGATTAATTGGCCTTGTGCTCCTCTGATTTCATCTCTTATCACTCTCTGTGTAGGTCACTCTATACTTCAGCACATTAGCCTCCTTGCTGTTTCCCAGCTATACCAAATATATTCCTCCCTCCATTACTTTTGCATTGGATTTCCCTCTGCCTGGAATATCCTTCCTCCAGATAATCTGCTCAAATGTCTGCTCATCCCTTCTTGCCTTCTGTAGTATCTCCCTCAAAAAATTTTCCTCTCTCTTGCAGTATCATGGCCACCAGGAGAGGACCTAGCCTGTAGATTAAGTTAAAACTTCAAAACCATGTTCTTGATGATATCTTTTGAGCATCTAGATCAAGCCTTGCCTAATGACAGCTGTAACCTTGGACTGTTATATGAGGCAAACATGCCCTTTAGAGCTTATTACCATTTCTGGCAAACAATTTGGAAGGCAATGGATGTGAAAAATATCATTATTAGTATAGTTTAATCGTAATTTATTATTGTTCATATTTTAATGCGGTAGAATTGCATAATGATGAGTATTAGCAAAAAGAAAATTGAATTTGTGTAAATAAAGGATGGAGAAATGTATTGCTTAATCTTTTCTTCTAAGACATTATTATGTTGTACAACATGAAGAGAAAAGAGAAAAGACAGGGGAAGGAGACAAAGGGAAGGGAGCTGACAGCTATAAATTCTTAGGCCTTGTGCTAAGTGCTTCACATGCATTTTCTTCTTCAAAACTCAGCATCCCCAGAGCAAACATTTTCTTCCACACTCTACAGATGAGGAAGGGCATAAGGTTAAGGTCATCTGGCTATTAAGGGGAGTATTGAGCACTTGTGACTAGGGCTATGTTACTCCCAAACCTATCCTTTTGCCATTTTCACCATGCTGGGTTTGGTCTTTAAATCTTTCTACAATAAATAAGTACTATTTATTGAGTCAGTGAGTGAAGCCAAAAACCAAGTGGAGAAAAAAATTCTTTTCAGTCTGCAAATGTCAAGGGTGATAATATGTGGCTGTGTTCTTACCATTGAGCTTAAAATCTTGTAACTCAGGCTTTTGTAAAAATATGAGGAACAGAAGAAATTTTCCGTCAGCACTTTTAATGAATTAAAGATTGGTAAAATGTTACTGCATATAGGGACAATAACCCACCTATTTCTTGGAACTCATTCTATGAGGGAGAAAGATATGAATTAACCACAAATAGAAAAATCAGCTCATCTGTTTTTTATCAGATGCAGTCAAATTTAGTATCTAGGGAAAGAGTTGGTTTAAGAGTCCCCCTGAACTTGCTTTTTAGTGAACAAGAATTTTTGAATAGTGTTTTGTCTAAGAAATTATGATTATTCACTGTTCTATTGTGGGCTTAAAGTGTATCACATGAGAAACATTTCGAGGAGGATAATTTGATATCTGTCCCAAGAGAAATTAACTTCAAACTACCGTAAGATATCAGGTTAAGTCACTCAAGTAACATTATTTATTAAGTGCCTATTTGTGCTTTGAACTCTGTTGGATACTATGTACAAAAAGAGCATGGTGTACTCAAACTAGTCCATAGCCTCTAGAAATCCTCGAGGGGCCCCTTCTTTTGTGAGTTCCCAGGCAATGCAAAGGCTGTTTGGGATGAGCTATATCCTGGGCACAAAGCAGGCATTTAAATTGGCCAGCTCACCTCCTTCATGGAGTAGGAGACCTGAAATAAGGGCAGGGTATTCTTTCAAAATCCTTTGCATGACCAACCTACAATTAATCCTTTAAGTGTCTTCTCAATTAATCTGTCTTGCACATAAATTACTTTTATTGCTATTCTTTGACTCTATGCCAAAATACTTTACATATTCCCAGTACTGAGATATGGACAAATGGACACAAAAATTTTCCAATAATTCTTATGAAAACATATATTTTTTAAAAAATCATCATTTGGGGTTTTCATTGGGAGAGCTTCCCTACAAGGTTTATTGTTGATACTCTAGCCATGTCAGTTTGGTATCTACTTTTCCTGTTCGATCCAATGTTTAGTTCATTTGTTGTTGAAAATGTCCTCACTCCCATTAACATTTTGTGCTGTGCCAATTAAAAGAAGTTTTTAATCTATACAACATTTTTTTTGTGTGCTCTCTCAAGAATTTGTAACGGCAGCCAATCTCCATTTAGGGCCACCAGTGTGCTACCATGCTTTCCTTTTATATAACAGGGAAGTTGTTCATGGTGTTATATCATACAGTTAAGATATTCCAAGAAAAAGTGTATTCAAGTCCAAATTAGCCACACCTTTTAATACACATATGCAGCAGTGTCTGTACATGGATGGGAAAACCACTTGGCAAATAAAACTACAACACAGCTGGGGGCGGAGAGGGATGACACATTGGCTATGAATTTTCACTTCTGACGCCAAGAGGGCCCTTACGCCTGCCCTTTTGTGTTTTTTTTTTTAAAGATTTTTTATTTATTTATTTGACAGAGAGAGACACAGCAAGAGAGGGAACACAAGCAGGGGGAGTGGGAAAGGGAGAAGCAGGCTTCCCGAGGAGCAGGGAGCCGGATGCGGGGCTTGATCCCAGGACCCCGGGATCATGACCTGAGCCAAAGGCAGACGCTTAACCGACTGAGCCACCCAGGCGCCCCATGCCTGCCCTTTTGTATTCTTCAATCCACTCTGGGCTTCTGAGGGCCCAGATTCAAGAAACCCTTATTAGTGGGGGTTACCATGCCTTGCTTATATGGTTTCTGGAGATTGGGTGAGGCACCTATGATTGTTGTGAATGTGTTCAGGCATGAGGCAGTTTTCAGGGATCCTAAGAAGTGAGAAATCATGACTACCAGGTAATCTTATTCTTTCTTCTTTATCCAGTTATCCACAAACTTTGTCAGTTTGTGGTCAGTGGACAAGGTGGAGGAATGTAAGGAGAGAGAAACATGTCTTTTATGTTCAAACATGGGACTCCAAAACATTTTTATAATAATACCTTCCAGTTTAGTGGGAAATATGAAGCTCTCACATGTTACTTTACTATTTTTTTTAGAAAGAAAAACCTAAGGTAATGGTTGAAAGACCTTCACAGTTGATAGAAATTAACTTGAAATTGAAGTCAACTCTGGAAATAAGAATTTTTTCATTTTAATGTTGAATATATGAAATAACTCAAGAATAAATTTTGTATTTTCACACTGGACATTGTTTCAAAATTTTCATTTATCAAGTTAATTGGACAGTTCTGTTTAATTCTTTTTTCTGGGTCATCTAATTCAATAAATATAAGAGAATTTGATCAATGTAGTTAAATCAAATCTAATTTATGCTTTATAAATGGGTTAATGTCTACTGAATTATAACATATTAGACTGAAGCATTAATAACAACTATGTTTAAAAGCTATTGCTGAGTAATTCATTAAGGACTGGAGGAAGCTAGAGTGGGCGAGATATGGAAGGAAGGGGAAAAGTCCTCATTTTGGAGATCAGAATCTGACCCTTTTTGATGGTGTAATATAGTCAAGTAAAATTAACGTGGCTACTGCTTGGGTTTGATGAAACTGACTGCTTAAGGTCACCATCTCTGGCCACATTCAGGACTCAGTAAGCAGCAAGGCCTTTTTAGCCATTTTAAGAAAGGAGCTGAATTCAAACAATGAATCATGGAACACTTCATCTAAAACTAATGATGTAATGTATGGGGATTAACATAAGAATAAAAAAAAAGGTAAAAAAGAAACGAGCTGATTAACTCTTTGCTGTGTGTGCTCTTTCTCAAACCATCTCACGAATGAGCTTTCTGCAGTCTTCATTCTCCTGCACAAGCTAACTCAGGACTTCAAATCTTACTTTCTGGCCTTAACTAAAGATCAGCAGTACTAGATTGACTTAAGTCATTAAAAGCCTTAGAAGAATCCAAGAATTTGATTATTTTGGAAAAAATACCAAACCTAGAATATTCTTTTACTTTCGGCAATGTCATTTGACTGTGAAACTTGCTTTTGGATTTTTAAGACTCTACATCTTAACTATGTGGTTTTTTTGTTTTTGTTTTTTTTAACCTATGATTTTCTTATGCCTAGAATGTTTCCAGCCATGAAATCAGAGATCTCTCATGACTCCACCTCTCCTCTGATTAAACCGAACTATGAGCCCTACTTACTCATGTTTCTGTCCCTCTGCCTTCAAGATTTAGTTAAAGTATTATTTTCTGTGGGATACCTTCTTGGTCCTCCCTGTTTTGAGTTAGGTGTTCCCTTCACACACTCTCAGAGCACACGTGCATATCTCTGTGACACTATTATTAAATTCATCCATTTATTTTCCATCTTCCCCAGTGGACTAGTGCCTTGTGAAGAGTTTTGTTTTGTTTAATTTAACTTCTGTTATCCCTAAAGCCTAGTAAAGTGCTCGCACATGGTACTTGCACAGCAAGTGTTTGTTGAATAAATGAAAAAGTTGAGATGCTTAACAAAGGAACAAAATTGTGGGGATGTGACTTATTTTTTTTTCCTCCAAGCTTGACTGAACTAGTCATTGCTAAGTAAACACAGCACCCAGATGGTCAGTTTCTATACTGATTCCTCCTCCTCTAATGATTTCAAGTGAATTACTGAGCAGTTAATGCTATATATAACAATAGCACATTATTAATGAGGATGTTTTGGTCATTCTGATTAAAAAGTTCTAGTTATAAAGATGATTGTGAGGATAATGTTACACTGAAAAGAAGGGAATGACTAGATCCAAAAAATGGAACGAATGGATTCATTAAATGGCTAAGATTTTGCCTTCGAAGTTCACTGGTATCATTGCATCATCATTTGGGTTCCAGGGTTCAGTATTCATTCTGAATGGATCTGCTGTGTTTTGGCCCAATTAATTCATCTTGCAGATCCACTGTCCAGAAGTGAGTAGTTGAATAGACTCAGATATTCTTCTAATTAAATCACAGTAATGTTGATTTTTATCTTGATAATCACAATAGCCCCATAGTATACTAGCTGAGGTTAAAAATAAAGAACTATTCATAAAATAATGCCCAAAAGGCTGACTGATATTTAATTCTGCTTCTGACACTTAGTGGCTATTTGACCTTGGGAAATTTTCTTTTTTCTTTTTTTTTTAAGATTTATTTATTTATTTGAGAGAGAGAGAGCATGATTGGGAGCAGTAGAGGGACAGGGAGAGAGAATCTCAAGCAGACTCCCCACTGAGCATGGGGCTCCATCTCAGGACCCTGAGATCATGACCTCAGCTGAAACCAGGAGTTGGATGCTCAACTGACTCTGCTACCCAGGCGCCCCAGGGGCATTTTCTTAACCTCTCTGGGACTCATTTGCTTTTTATGGAACAGAGGGATAAGAGTACTCAGCTCACAGAGTTCTTGTGAGGAATACATGAGATTAGCATGCAAAGAATTTAGCAGAATGCCTGGTATACAGTAAGTGCTCAATAGATATAAAGTGCTATCATCATCATCATTACTACTACTGCTTCTATGTGTGAGTGTTATCATGTGAGTGTTGTTCCTTCTCAACTCTACAGGGTTTGAACCCCAAGTAGAGGAAAATCACATCTAAATTTAGTAATTAAAAAAATGCAAATAGGTTAAAAAAATCCTTCACAGTACCTTTAAGTATCTAGTAAACAATTCTAATATCTTGTTTTTATAATTATAATGTATTTATAATAAAATATAAATCTAAATATTCATTTATATACATACTTTATAAATATTTTAGGAATTTAGGCATAGTCTCATAAAAAGGAAACTTTGTGCCACTTAACCTATTGATATGATGTGAACATAGGGTTTT